GAGCGGCCTTTAGACAGCCGGTAGATAGTGTGCAGCGTGGAGTCAATCAGGTGTGCGTAGTGCTCTGTGCTGGCAAACAGAGCTGCACAGCGGGTCAGCAGAGGCAGCAGGGCCGAGCCGATGTACCTGTTCATGGCCAGTGCAGTCTCAGTGGTGCTCAAAACCTCCTGCGGGACAGGGAACAATACATGTATCTGAAGGGTGTACGGCACAGTAGTGTCCCCATTTCAGGATTAAGAGAAAGTTGGAGTGACTATAGGCTCCTGGCAGAAGCATAAAATGTGGTTCCTGGGTAGAAACAAAGCAAAATGAGTGGAGCTGAAAAACTAAAATTCCCCTGTTGTCAGGAATAGTTTATAATAGTAGGGCACTGACTGAATAGAAAGTCTTTCAAAACATGTCTTTCATTTTAAAATGACTTTCTATGAATAACATTCTGCCTGTTAGGTAGAGAATGTTTTAACAGAAGCTCTGGACATCCTAAGAGAGCCCTGTGAAGTTTCTCACTAAAACTCCCTGAGGTCTAACAAACTTGTTGAATGCATTTCCTGAATGAATTAAAATGCAGTTTACATTCACATTTACGAGACTTCTTCCTCACTATCTTGGTTGGCACATTGCTATGTTTTTTGGCACGTTACCTTGAAAATCAATGGAGTACTGTTAAACCATTGGCAGGCTGTGAATTGCACTGCCAGTGTCCTCATGCACAACACAAACAAAACGAGGACCCATTCATAAAACCATTGTTCTATAGTGGTCAGAAAACTCCTTAGGGGACATTTAAGTAAAAGGTACCTGTTAAATCAGATAATTTAATGCTGAAATTGGAAATGGACTGTCATCAGTTTTAAACTAATTCAGCTGATTTTTATGTAAATAACTGTGACTGAGGATAAAATGGTAAAATGTTATATTCCCAAGTACAAGACAAATATGACAATTTAAATACCGATCACATTTCTCAGTCTTCTCAGCAGATGTTTAATCCAGTTTTTGTAAGGAATAATTACATTAATGTTTCTGCCAACTTGGAGGCCGTCATGACAAGGCTTTGTTCTGATTGCAGCGCAGAGGAATCAGTGTTCATGTTTGCTCAAATTATCTGCATTTTTCACACATCGAATGAGCAAACTGGAAACCCAAACTAAACTTGTGACAGAAACACAAATTCAGTTAGAAATGTCATAGGAACAGAGATAGAGAAGATGATGAAAATAATATTACACCTGCTAGCAGCTAGTCCTTTTACTTTGTGCAATAACAGGCTAAAAAGACTAAAATGTAATCTTTTAAGAAAGACATACAAACGTTTTGGTACCTAGTGAAACTTGGAGTTTGAAGGTGAAGGTTTGCTAGGGGATGTATGATGAAAGTTATTTGGGTTTTCTCTCACTCACTGTGTCCAGAGATGCAGAGGCTTGGAGGTCAGGCAGGAAGCCGACCTCCAACATCTGGAGAAGGAAGCTCTGGTCCTCGATGCCGTAGACTCGATCCAGGAAGAGCACCATGGGGGCCTTGTGGTCCGGACAGAAACAGGCTGACATGTCGGGCTCTGTCACTGTGCCATCTAAAGGTTAAACATTTCAGGTTAATGTGCCGTTGTTATCGAAATGTACACTTTGTAAACATTGTATTTCTTTTTTTTCTATTTAATCTGACTTTTTCTAGTATACCTAATTAAGTACTACTAATTACTACTACTAGTATTAATACTAATTAAGTGGATTTAGAAGGACATTATCTATAAGATCTTTTGGGTTTTGGAGAAGCAGAAGAAAAAAAGTTAAATAAAAAGGAAAGGGAGGGAAAAGAGGGACGAAGAAAAACAAATAACAAAAGCTGATCTTTAATTAAAGTATCGAATGATACATAATTTACGACCAAATTATGTAGAAACAAACAAGATAAATAGTGGGAAAGAGCATCATGGGTCTTTTGAGGTAAAAGTAATTCCATTGATGATAAGCTGTGGAAATGTAATACAAAAGCAAAACCTTGTGTGTTCAGTCATTTAAGACAGCTTGCTTTCTTATTAGAAAATGTCACAAAGAAAATTGGATACGAAGTTAATTTTCTGGTGCGATTCCTGCTGAGACAAGCTTTTTCTGTAAGATTATACCTACACAATAACATTTTTAAGCGAAGCACAAACTGCATAAGGTACTAGAAACACACTGTTCACAGCAGAAACACAGAGAGAGAAGTAAACAGATTTCCACTCCTGAATGAAGCCTGGCTGTTATGACACGGTCCTACTATCTCCAGCTGGCAGAGCTTAATGATTTTCAAAGTGTGGAGCTTTGAAATTATTTTAGTTGCTTTTTTCTGGCAGCGTGATTTCCCATAGCTACATGCCAACCAAAATTACCTTCTTTATTTTTTATTTCTAGGTAGTAAATTTGTGATATGTTAGATTTGGCAGCAGAGAAAAATCGATTTTGATATACTGTAGCTTGTGTTTGTATGCACAGTTCAAATGTGCTGTGTGTGAGGCCAGTTCCAAAGACCATTTTCTGCTTTTCTGAATCACTTTTGGTTGCTATTAGTTTCCTCCAATAATTTTCAGCTTTACGCTGATTGTTTTTGTTGCAGCACGTGGTTCACCTTCATTTATTAATGTTTATCTGCTGCTTTTTAACATCTGTATGCAAGACTTTAGGTAGCAAACAAATAAAACAACAACCACCAAGATCAACATACCTTTATTAACCACAGGCATTTTAAGGGGGATGCTGATGATGCCCACCAGGTCTGTAGTGGGAACCAACGATCGCAAGATGGCCCGGATACGTAGCGCCTCACCTTTGCCTGCATTGATGAGCTGTGAGAGATAAAAATAGGAAATATTCAACTCACTACTTCATTCAGCGCTCTCTGTTATTGTGTAGAGGATCTTGCTAACATGAAAGTAAGCGTGATGAAAAGCATTTAGTAGGCATATGACAGCAACATTTGATGAATGTGTATGAGAAACACAATTATACAATACACAATAGACTTAAAGATGGACGAGGCGTCTCCACTTCCCCCTACTGTACAAAAATGAAGCCAAAATATCCTGGATACAGATCAGCTTGCACTGGTGACGTCATTTGGAGCAATCGATATACAGTGGGTACGGAAAGTATTCAGACCCCTTTAAATTTTTCACTCTTTGTTTCATTGCAGCCATTTTCCAAAAATCAAAAAAGTTCATTTTATTTCTCAGTAATGTACACTCAGCACCCCATCTTGACAGAAAAAAACAGAAATGTAGAAATTTTGCAAATTTATTAAAAAAGAAAAACTGAAATATCACATGGTCATAAGTATTCAGACCCTTTGCTCAGTATTTAGTAGAAGCTCCCTTTTGATCTAATACAGCCATGAGTCGTTTTGGGAAAGATGCAACAAGTTTTTCACATCTGGATTTGGGTATCCTCTGCCATTCCTCCTTGCAGATCCTCTCCAGTTCTGTCAGGTTGGATGGTAAACGTTGGTGGACAGCCATTTTCAGGTATCTCCAGAGATGCGCAATTGGGTTTAAGTCAGGGCTCTGGCTGGGCCATTCAAGAACAGCCACGGAGTTGTTGTGAAGCCACTCCTTCGTTATTTTAGCGGTGTGCTTAGGGTCATTGTCTTGTTGGAAGGTAAACCTTCGGCCCAGTCTGAGGTCCAGAGCACTCTGGAAAAGGTTTTTGTCCAGGATATCCCTGTACTTGGCCGCATTCATCTTTCCCTCGATTGCAACCAGTCGTCCTGTCCCTGCAGCTGAAAAACACCCCCACAGCATGATGCTGCCACCACCATGCTTCACTGTTGAGACTGTATTGGACAGGTGATGAGCAGTGCCTGGTTTTCTCCACACATACCGCTTAGAATTAAGGCCAAAAAGTTCTATCTTGGTCTCATCAGACCAGAGGATCTTATTTATCACCATCTTGGAGTCCTTCAGGCGTTTTTTAGCAAACTCCATGCGGGCTTTCATGTGTCTTGCACTGAGGAGAGGCTTCCGTCGGGCCACTCTGCCATAAAGCCCCGACTGGTGGATTGCTGCAGTGATGGTTGACTTACTACAACTTTCTCCCATCTCCCGACTGCATCTCTGGAGCTCAGCCACAGTGACCTTTGGGTTCTTCTTTACCTCTCTCACCAAGGATCTTCTGCCCCGATAGCTCAGTTTGGCCGGACGGCCAGCTCTAGGAAGGGTTCTGGTCGTCCCAAACGTCTTCCATTTGAGGATTATGGAGGCCACTGTGCTCTTAGGAACCTTAAGTGCAGCAGAAATTTTTTTGTAACCTTGGCCAGATCTGTGCCTTGCCACAATTCTGTCTCTGAGCTCTTCAGGCAGTTCCTTTGACCTCATGATTCTCATTTGCTCTGACATGCACTGTGAGCTGTAAGGTCTTATATAGACAGGTGTGTGGCTTTCCTAATCAAGTCCAATCAGTATAATCAAACACAGCTGGACTCAAATGAAGGTGTAGAACCATCTCAAAGATGATCAGAAGAAATAGACAGCAACTGAGTTAAATATGAGTGTCACGGCAAAGGGTCTGAATACTTATGACCATGTGATATTTCAGTTTTTCTTTTTTAATAAATTTGCAAAATTTCTGTTTTTTTCTGTCAAGATGGGGTGCTTAGTGTACATTACTGTGAAATAAAATGAACTTTTTAGATTTTTGGAAAATGGCTGCAATGAAACAAAGAGTGAAAAATTTAAAGGGGTTTGAATACTTTCCGTACCCACTGTATATACATATCGAGGTCCCGGCCATACACTCGGCTGATTGAAAGTTGAGCAGGGCTCAGATTAAGACTAATGACCATCTTTGGTAAAAATTTAATGATCGTGTACTAACATTTGGACCATGTCCAATCTGCTAACATGGAGCGGGCAGGGTTTATGACCTATACTGCAGCAATCCACCAGGGGGCGATCAAGATGTTTAGGCTTTACTTTTGGGGAGCTGTCATGTGTCCATCTTTATATACAGTCTGTGGTTATTTCTCATGTGGAGTCTCACATGCATCTCTGGAGCACAGCGTCCCAGCAGGTCAATGAGAGCTGAGTAGAAGGACATGATGGCGTTACCCATGTGAATAATTTCTCCTTCTTCATCACCAGACCTGAAACACACATCACACTGTCACTGTGACAACATATTTTGTGCAAACCTCTGTAGAACTGAAAATAAATTGGGAACCGTACACTCAGATTCTGCAAGGGAATTTGAGAAGGAAATGTGCATCAGTGGAGTGATAGATGGGCAATTTTGTGAATATTTATAACAATGTTTCTTACATACATGATTTCTTAAAGGCCACTATGTTATACATAATGATTGCCTTTTTGCCTGATTACAGCCTTTGCATAATTATGTGAGCAGGCAGGCACCAATACTTACAGGCCCAACAAGACTCGACACAGACAACGGGAGACTTTAACACTTGACTGTTTTCGAGACACTTTTTTTTGAGTTGTGTTTTTTTTTTTTTTGTGTCTCATGCTGTGTAAACGCTGATTCGCAAGTTTTTCAACCCTAACTAGAACTAAATAATCTAAGAAACTGGTGTAGATTATTACCCAGCAGGAAGTCCAGCAGGCAGGTCCAGGGCAGGATCCTCAGAGATCTTGATGGCCTCCTTCATGGCGGCCAGCAGACCTTGACCTCCCTCTCCCCTCAGGGCGGGGCCGAAACACTCTGGACGTCTGATCAGCAGCTTCACCACCACGTTGGCATTTTCCTCCACACTCTCACCTGGTTTACAAATACAGCAGGGTAATGAACAGGCATCTATGGGTGATGATTTAAATAATCCCCAAATAGGACAGGCCAGAGTCAGCTAGAGGACATAAATCCTGGAAGTCAGGTTTATTCCTTCTCCTAAAGCATTATTTTATTTTTTATTCAGGGAAGGTGGACTAACATTTCTATTTCTACTTCTTACCAGGTGTGTATACAGACCACTCACAAAGATGGATTCACACAGACAGTGTGTCCTCAGGAACAATTCCAGAACAACAAAACAACACAACAGCTGTTGATCGCTGCCGTCATAAAGAACATGATATAAACAAAATTTGGACAACTTAAGAACACCCCATGTGAACAGTCCACACAGTATCATTAAAGGGCAACATTTACATCATTTACTCCATGAGCTCAGTATGAAAGTTGATATACCATTGCAGAAGACGGCGAATCTCAAGAAGGACAGGTAACGCTCTCCTTCTATAGGGTTCCAGCCAAGGTCTGGGTAACCTTTTGCAACTAGCATGGCACAACTCTGAAGACCGCAGCCTGCCAGGTATGTCACCACCTACACACACACACGGCAAGGCAAGTTTATGTGTATAGCACATTTCAACAACATGGTAATAATAATTCCCCTTCCATTGTTTTGCTTTTTTGATATCCCATCTCTCACACCAGACAAACCTCGCACACACACACACACACACTTCTGTTTGACTCCTGGGGACACTGTCTTTTTGACTGTCAGAGTCAGTAACAGTGACAGCTTGAAAGCATTTGCTGAGCTAGCTTATTGACACGGCACAAAATCCCACTTCATTTATGGGTGGCATAAGGTTTCTATTTCTATCTGGCTTACTTTCACCCTAAGTCAGCAGCGAGGAGTTTTAATAATAAGTTAATCTCAGCTCTATATAATGAAAAAGAATTTGCTGATCATTTTGCACTTGAGAATGTTTCAGTGCACTTACCCTATATAAAATTCATCAAACTACTCATACTAAACAGAATAAACACAAATGTTTTCACGATAAAAAACATTTCATATCATTCGATATCAATAATTATCACGATATATGTCAAATCTTTATTTCTTTCAAGTTTAAAGGCTGATTTTTGCTCGTGAGTAAAAATTGAAGAAGCCATATGGTTAAATATGTGGTTAAACTTTTCTTTATGGTCAGAATGGGACACACACTTGATGCCAAACAGTGGATCACTTAACAAATCTGAGGGAGAAAGTTCAAAACTATTATGATAAAAAAAACTTTTAACAAATATGATTAGTAAATCTTTTTTCAGTCCCTTTTCCTCAACAAAATCAATATTTTAAAGAAAAATTAAGTGCTAATTTGTTGGTGATTCAAAGGAATTAAACCAAATATTTATTGATATATTGAACATTTATTATATTGATATTGAAAATTATATTGCGATAATTATCATTATTGTTTTATTGCCCAGCCCTAGGTACACTGCTTTATGGCTTTATTACAATGTATTCTGAGCTGCAATATTTTTACTGCATTCACAAGTTATAATAATATATAATATAATGTTTTGAGGATCAACAATATTGTAATTCCAGCAGCCAGCCTCAATCAGTTATTTGCAGTCAAACATGTTTTCACTTTTATGCTGAAATAACAAACCTTCTCCAGATCAGGTTCCTCCAGGGCCAGAGCCAGGCCGTTGTTGTCCATCACTGAAGATGCTGCAACATCCAATGGGGTGGAGCCCCGCATAGCTTCAGAGGCTAAACACACACACACACACACACACACACACACACACACACACACACACACACACAGTGTTACCAGCAATCTCCACATTTTTTCTATACTAAACAACAGGGGGCAGTCTTTCTACATATGCTATTGTGATATTCCATCTCTTATAGTTCAGAGCAGCAGGTAGTGTTTCAGTGTGAGATCAGTCAATATCTGACCTTTTAAGACTGATTTCTTATAACAAATGTCACACAATAATGCTTGAATATTATTCAAACACTATAAATAAATAAAAAAAATTATCACTTATGCAAACATGCAATTACAATGTACAGCGAAATTCTACTTGTTAAAAGGAAAACAAAATATTATTTCCAGCTGTTACAAAACCAGCAGATTCTCAGCAGAACATTTACTAAAAGTAATATATTACTTTTGTAAAATTTGACACTTAATTAAAGTTGGAAACAATGAAACTTTTCAGTAACAATTATAAAAATATACTTCATACATAATAATGTATGGAAGTTTCATAAATGAACTGCATCACATTTAATGGACATCTGTGTCTACAAGCTACTACAATGCTACAAACCATTGTAATCAATGCATTTTTTAGTAAGCAACGTATTAAATAATTATTTTGCAACAGTCACAGAAACACTTTGATGTTGCACAGATATTCCTACATTCAAGTTAATGAATCTTATAGGACTGAGTGTAGGAACACTCCCTGCCCACATAAAAGGTCAAAATCCCATTGGGCACCTAGTCAGAAAGTAATTGTGCACACTGTTAAAACAGTATGTCAATAATTGGTTTATATTTATTCATGATGTTTATGAAGATTCTCAGTCATCCAGGTCATAGTTATCCAACAAAGGTTAAAGTCAAGGGGCAGCTTTGGATGAGGGACAAAACGTCTTCCAGTATCTTCAACCAAGTCCAGCTGCCCCTTGACTTTAACCTTCGTTGGATATATTTATTCATGCAGACAAACTTATCAACTGGGACAATTCGTCTTGGCATGTCTACCAACACCTTCACAATGCCATATGTGACTGATGAGTAAGCAAATATCAAACGTTAGTAATAACAAACTGGTGTGTTTGTATTCATCTGTTCTCTCCACACCATGTGAGTATCTCCATTTTCACGCGTAGGAGCTTTAGTGTACAGCAGCCGGAGCCCAGTGACTCATCAGTCCTGCCCTGCATGCCTAAATAACCCTCGTACCTCATTTTCCTGCATTCCTCTCTGCCATTCTTCTCTCTCTATCAGCTGCCTCCTTCTCTGCCCCTTTCACTCAAACTGATACACTGGCATAATGTGGGCGATAAGCAAAAGGACATTTTTGTACTTCCTACAGCATGGTAAATACTTTTAATTCATAAGCTCAAAGAATTCCTTTAACTTATTTATTTCAATATTTATTTCTTCCACTATACCTTCTAACATTGTCTCACCCTCTTATCCAGTGAGTCATCTTTTTCTTCTGCTCATCCTTCATATCTGTAATTTTTAAACCTGCGTCTTCCTCTCTCAGAATGATATACATTAACTGTAATTGAAAATGCGGCATGGCAACTGTCAGTAGATAACAGGAGAGTAGACTCAGTCTCATTTTATCAAGTCAACCAATACTTACCCAGCCCGACACTGCTGTTCTCCAGCAGGTAGCTCAGGTGGTCAAACATGGCTTTCTGGTTCTGGCGGCTAATGCGACAGAAGTAGCACAAGAAACGACAACAGCTGGCCACCATCTTGGGGAAGGCAATCTCCTGTGAACAACAAGTCAAAGCAGACCCTCATTTTAATGACATTTTTAAGGCAAAATAAAGGGTTGACATATGGCTGGGCAATAAAACAATAATGACAATTATCGCAATATAATTTTCCTCAATAACAATATAACAAATGTTTGATTTAATTAATTTGAATCACCAACAAATTAGGACTTATTTGTTTACATTTATTTTGTTGACAAAAAGGGACTGAAAAAACGTTTTACTTAATTTTACTCATGCATATATAGATATATATAGATTTTATCACAATTAGAATGTTTTATCTCAGATTTCTTAAGCGACCCACTGTTTGGCATCAAGTGTCATGTTCTGACCATAAAGAAAAGTTTAAAACCACAATTAAGCATCTGGTTTCTTCAACTTTCACTCAGGAAAAAAAAAAATCAGCCATTAAACTGGAAAGAAATAATGATTTTACATTTATTGTAATAATTGTTGATATCAAATAATATGAATTTTTTATCATGATAACATTATTGGCCATATCACCCAGCCCTATGTTGACATGGGCAACATACTTTTACTGGAAAAATGTATTGGGTATAAACGTAACGGGTTACATAGACACTTATACTGTATATAGTCTATTCTTTTTACAGTATTTTACATATTGATCATATTGTAATTTATTTTGTTGACAGTAGCAGTCCAGTTGTCCTTGGTTAGAGGGGTTTGGCTACAGCCATTTCCGTGTGATAGCTTTCTTGCTAGATGCCAAAAGTATTTAAAGTGATATTAATCCTGAGTCATGAGTTTGTCTGGGAGTTTGCCCAGATATAATGTGACATAAAAGCAATCTTCAGCAATCTCTTGCCAATACGAAAACATTAAAGGGCAAGCCCCAAAAATATGAAAAAGACTGTCATTTTTTTCTGCCACACTGCCTCCAGAATTCATCCTGTCCCTGGTAACTTTGACTACATTTGAATGTTGGAGTTACAAAATGTATGTTCTTCCAACAGATCTCTCTCCAGGACCTGGAGTTAGTAGTCTCAGCCTGGATTTCCATCTCATTCCAATCATCTTCAGATATCCCCAGGCCTGATTCTCCTATTTCTGTTTGATACAGACAGCAGCATAGTTTTTGGAGTTTCAGATCATCAGGTTTTATTGCTAATCTGAAACTCTTAAATATTCTCCAATATATACTGTGTGAGCCAACCTGACGGGGATTATATCTAGCCTTTCCTCAAAGGAGTTGGATTTTAATCTATTTTGATATGTCTGGAGGATGCAGAGGCTCTGATAAAAGCTTAAAATTTTCTGTTCAGAACAAAACAACTGAAAATAATTTGACCTTCAAGTCCTTTTGCATATGATGCCGTTACCTCTGTCATTCTCATTTTTCTAAGTTCCAGTGTGGGTTCAGTCTAAGGTTCAGTCTGAGCATAAATCTATGAGTGAAGTCATTTTTGTCCAAACCAGAGATGAAAGTAAACTGGCAGGGGAGTGGATAGGTACCAGACGGGAGGGAAATCATCATCTTACCTTCAGCAAATTACTCTGCAAATATGCCCTTTACACAGAAAATCACACTCATAGACTAGTCGCCCTGTGTTCAGTCAGCAGTCAAAGCAATTTTACCTTTTTAAATGTGTTTAAGCCTTGTGAAAAGTTACTCAGTAGTAACGCTGTGCATGACTGGGAATAACATTTTTATTAAAAGTCTTGGTTGAAAAATAGCAAACTTATTCTTAGTTTTTATTATGTAGTGTGTTTATTTTACACCTTGATTATATGTTATAAAATTTCTTGTTATCCTTCATATTGTGGGCAAAGACGTGACTATAAAAATCTATTACCCAACTATATCATGGTTTGATATTATATCATGCCATGACTAAAACAACATTTGAGATAATCAATGAGTAAACACTGCAAACCTGATATACATTTACAAGCTGTGGTACTGCCACTTTATATGGCCACAGTAAGTGAAGTGCACAGATCAAGTGGCAGTAAACTGGTCTGGAATTTATGTCTGAGACTGCGTGATCAGACTGCCAGAGTCAGATGTGAAGGCCTGAATGTCTCCCTGAGGTCTTTCTGTCTGAGGTTCAATTCATACTTGGCACTTGCCATGACATTAAATCACAACCATCTCTTCCAGCTTCTGTCAGCACTGCCCAAAATGGACAGGCTTTAGAGGCCTCCATCTCACCCCTTTCATGCCCTCCTGCCCTCTCCATTACCCTTGTGGCTTTTCTGGGTATTAGGTTGTTGATCTTGGCTTACTTTGATTTCTTAGGATTAAATTTGTTTTCCTGAGATCACTAAACAACCTATTAAGCATACAAAAGTTTAGCTTCTGTGAGGACTTTTCAATCAAATAGTCCCAGTTACAAAATCTGAATTTTAATAGATTTCAAAGTGACCAACCCCTCCCTCATTACCACCACTGAGGTGCCCCTGAGCAAGGCCCTTAACCCCAGGTGTAAATGTGTAACTGTGTGAACTGTGATCAGTGCATTCCTGCAAGGAAAGGCTTCCTCTCAGTGAATCTTCCCTGAATACACAAATGTGACATTTTTATTTTATTTTAAGCTTATAAGTAGACCTTGAGTTGAGATGGTTTGTCCACTATTTACTTTCATGACAGTAACAACTTGACATCACTGGGTTGTGTTGACCACAACTAATAAAAGAAAGTAGTCACGACTTCCTACCTGTGACTTGTCTCCTCCCAGTACGTTGACCATGACCTGCATGACAGTCTCATGCATGCCCAGCACTCTCATTAGGTTGGGATGTTGGTAGAAAACCTTGTTGTTCATGATGTCACTGGGAACACAAGAAAGCGGTTTGTGAAAGTAATTTATGCTAATTGATATATTACAGTTTTGAGGCGGTATACAATACAGTGGAAATACTGCCTGATGATGAAAATGTACTGTAAGTAACAATGTGCACTGACGAACAATGCGTAATAGGCCTAGCTATCATCAACCATTATATCTTTACATTACATGCGTTATAAAGACGTCACTGCGTTTATTACAACATATTTTCTTACCCGAGGCCATCAATCATGAGTTTCTCCTCCTCCTTGCCCATGCGTACTGACAGGAGAGACCTTATCTGACCAAGAGATACCAACAGGTTAACAGCATCCTGCACAGACGCGGCACTGATGGTGTAGGATTTCTTCATAGCCCGGAGCAGCTCGCCGATGCCGTCATACTGCCTCCTTAGCAGGCTGAACATCACTCTAACCAGCTCTGGGTCCTGGATGTGAGACTCCTGAGCCCAGCTGGTTATGGTCTGGGAGATCAGCTCCTTCAGGTTGGCTGGAGAAGTGAGAATTCAACATCCACACAGTGAATAATGGTGCAGAGGTAGTAAAGTTAGTGGAGCTTTTCTATCAAAGGCTAATTGTGCCGCCACATTTGACCACCACTGAACAAATGTGCGATCCTAACGTAGCAAAGAAAGTGCTGTTGTGCTGCCACTGGATTCAATTCCAATTATGATGAGCCTATAAACTATTTGGCTTTTTTCTTCAAAACAGACTCATCTAGCAGAAACATTGTCATTATTAAGTAATTCTCTAGAAGGAAATATTCAACTGCATCATTCTGCCACTTCTTATACTCTGGAACTCATTGGACATTTGTAGGGGGTAAAGAAAACAGAAGACAGCAGAGTAATTCTGTTCTCAATTGTTCTCTTTGCCACTATGCTTACAAGGGCTTGTAGTCCTGTTTAAGCATACTATAGATAAATCACAATTCAAGTCATAAAGCATGTGGCACTCTCAGCATTGAGTTAAAAACTTTAAAGTCACATTTTGATGATTTGCTGAAGCCTCAGGCAGCTCGCTGGCTGTGATTATTACATTTACAGTTTTTTGAGGCATTTGGTAGTATAATCTGAAATAATCGCGTAATGTTTCTGAAAGGTTGGTGACGCTAAAATGTATGTATCACCCACGTGAAGAGCATCCAGTAAGAAGCTCAAGAGGTACGACAATAGTGCAAAGGCGGAATGATAAGTAAAACATTTTGTTTGATCCTTTTTGTGTAGTCTGTAGGTTGGGTTATGCTGCTACTATTGTAATTTGACCACATGACCTTACCGTAAAGTTTCAGTTTATGCAGCTACACTGATTACAGTATTAACAGTGTACTTTGAGGTAATATCTGGCTTGAATCTGGTTATGTAGTTTGTCATTTGGTATGTGTGATGTGTCAAAATTAGAAAAAAGCCTGAATAGAGCAAATTAACAACATAAAATTTCGATTTAGTATTTGACACAACAATTAGCATCATAACTGTGGTAATTTCTATCCATGGTGTGCACATATCGAACTGGGATTTTTGGATGCTATGTGTACGAGGCTGTAAATCTCAAGCACTGTACCCACATTCACTTTCTAACTGTGTAAACATACAATAACCCTCTTCTCACCAATGCAAAACGCAATGCAATCAATAATACTGCAATGCCCTTTCAAGACTTAACACTGACAACACTGAGCAAAACTGAAGATTAGAAGATCCATTGTTTTAGTCAAAATGCAGGTATTCGAATAAATGTTGTGTTTACAAAAAAAGAGTAAAGTGTGGGTGATTATTTGAAACTTCATCAAGTCTCACAAAACTTTAGTCTTACATACAGGCAATGATAAAACAAGGCACAACTACATAAGAACTCAGTGACCTGTAGTGATAATGTAGAGGCTGTAGCCAAACGCTGCACCTCTCCAAATGATAACATTGTTATTCCAAAGCTTTCGCTGAACTTTGAGTATTTAAGTCAAACATCTGTAGCAAACAAAAGGGTCAGATTCGAGCAGAATCCTAATGAGAGACGAGAGAGGGAGGGAGGCAGTTGCCCTGAAGGTGAATGTCTCGCAGATTCACATCTGCTCTGCATCGTTGCTAACAGTTGCTCACATGGGAGTCATCACAAACACAGAAAACTATCCTCCCTGCAAGCTAATCTGCAAATGACCACACACAGTCATTTATAAAAAAAAAACTTTTAAGTTTCATAGCTGTGTTAAATGCATTTTCACTGCAAACCAAACATTAAGCTGGCATTACTAAAAAAAATTTAACCTTAAACTATCAAACCTATCATTTGGTTTGATTGATTTTGGTGTTTTTCAGATTGCACACTAAGATGCATAATACTAAAATTTAAAGATAAAACATTGAGATAACATTTACATACTTAACAAATGACAGCATAATGGACTGGAAGAGAAGCAGCCATCATTAACTATGCCTACTTCAATATGATCTTAATGTGAAGTACAAAGGAACCAGCGTCTATCATATATCAGTCATGTTGAATCACATCATCTATCCACTCATAAAGCTTTTCAATAATGCAAGGTAGGTGTGGGAGGCGTGAGTATAGCATTAAAATTTACAGAGAGTCTTGCAGTGGCTGTCCATTAGTCTTCTATTATTTGAAATAGAACATAGCCATGCTTCCAGCAAAGGGCAGCAGAAAATAATTTTGAAACCACTGATCCAAGGTTGAAGCAAAGAACTTTTTAAACT